TTCTCTGCAGCCGAACTAAGGGTCAGACAACTGCTGCAACTCAAGAACACGCTGACCAGGATACAAGGACTGCTGACATTTTAAAAATGCTGTATGCCTCTTTTTGGAGCCAGTGCAGAAAACATACAGTTTCTCCACCAAGGAGAAAAATGTCACAAAGTGAACACTGGACTTGGCACTCTCAACTAGTACCAGATTCAAGCAGTGTGCCTGGCAATGAACATAAAGAGCCTTTTCATTGTGTGCACATATCCGGGATTGTAGACCTTTGTACATTCCACTCATGTTCGCAGCTCCATCATATCCTTGGCCCCTGATGTTCTTCAAGTCAAGTCCATTGTCTTGAGGGAGAGAGATGACAACATTCTCCAACTCTTTTCCTGTTGTGGACTCAAGAGTGCAGACCTGTAGAAAACGTTCCTTTATTATGAAAAGTTTTAATTTGTCTTTAATTTGTCCCTGGCCTGAGCTGTTCCCTTCACTAGCATTATACATATATTAATACACACATTACACACACACACACACACACACACACACACACACACACAATTACATTCTGCATGATAAAATATATAGAATACACAGTGACCTGATGATTCTCATTGTGTAAAGTTTTTTTTTTTACTTAATACAACATTATTACAGTAGTAAAACCATGTTTTTCTATGTTTATACATGTGAAGACGAGCGGGGAATATACAATACTAGATTTTTCTTAAAATCTAGCCAGCAAACATGCATAATATGTGACCATAAGCAATATAATATGATGAAATGTTAATAAACTGCATCACGTAATTTACATGTATCAGCAGCACATAGTCATCAAATCAAAATAGAAATTTCTTATAAATATATTTTACCTAACTGACAAGGATCACTCAGTTGCTTTGTGTCACTCAAATGCAGTTACACCGCGGGTTTTTGACCAGCGAATGTGTGCAATTTGTTCATTATTAAAACGACAACATCACATGTGGTGATGGTCACAGAACTCAAATGCAATATATGAACCTTTATAGACATACTAGTGTTTATTTCATAAAGACAACGTTGCACTTATTCAAACAACAAGATATTTTACCGTTACAAGACGAAGACGTTCATCTGTTTCTGGTTTCTGACTGCTGTGCTGAAAAACGTAAGTTCGCTGCGCTCAGGAGGCGGAGTTGTGAAGTTTGACTGACAGTTTGAGCGGTTCTAAAAGATGCACTTTTTAATGCCTTTAATTGGCTAAATATTTGTTAAAAAGACAAACAGACGTAAAGGGTTACCAATAGCATTGATTTATTGAAGAAATAAAAAAAAACCCTCCACAAAAAAAGGGCACTTCGGAGTGTAATTACAAAAGGGCATGTGCTCTGTACAGGTTGAGCCCTACCTGTGCACGTGCCTGATGACCTGGATGACTGAGAATCTGCACAGACATGTTAAGGTGGAATTTTTGCACTAAAGTGCATACAACTGTACAGATATACCTAATAAAGTGGCCAGTGAGCGTATATCAAAGTGCAAATGAGGACTGTGCTCACCGTGCTGAATGATGCCATGCTCCTGCAATGCACGACACAGCTCTGATCCCCGACACCGGCTTTCTGTCTCTCCGTTCTGAAGGAGCCAGTCAATCAAGTGGCAGCCAGAAAAGGAGCTCTCATATGCTACACCATGCTCCTCTCTCAGCTGCAGAATGGAGTTCTTGTCCCTAATGAGTCTGGAGACACAGACACATTTCACACAGATCCAATTTCTCATAACATGCAAATTACTTCTGGAAAGAGCATTTAAACAAAGTTACCAGTATAGTAGGCTACATCTGACCAGAGATAACTGTGTGTTCAATTTTAACCCCAGTTTGTTAATCATATTGGTATGTATGTGATCATGCACTTCAAGGTCAGCTGTTCCAACACAACCAAGAGACTTACAGCACAACCAAAGCAGCCCTTACTTTTCATATAGACATTGTCCTCGCATGAAAATTTTCACCTCTGCATTAAAGGGAAATGTGCCATCGTCCTCACGGAAACGGTACAGCAGTTTGGCATCTTTGAATACCGGTCTCTTATCACACACTAGGAAAAGGCAACATATAGCCTAGTTTCAGTTAAGTCTTGAAAATTGTCCATGTCTAACTAAAGTTATCACAACATTGTTTCATTTGTACAAAAGGTCTTTACATGATGCGTGCCCTGTCTTGGTACATCCTTCTTGCCATGGTGAACAATGTCATGATCCATGAGGTGCTGCATGAGACCGACAGCTGTTGCTGGATCTGAAGCTTCCTTGTGGCTCAAAAGCCAGTCTATAAGTTCATGTGCTATGAAGCAGTTAGGATATGTGCGCAGGTGGTTTTAATCAGTTTTACGTCATGAAGTCTCAACCTTGAAGTAAAGTTTAAATTAGCTATAATCCTAGAACAAAAACACACACACTCTCTCTCTTACTTCCTCTCAGTCTCCCTCCTTCTCCTCTTACCTGAGTTGTTCTCCTGCAGTCATGACTTCAGCCTTATGTTGTTTAGCCTCGACTTTTCTACATTTGCTGCTTGTTCTCTCCATGTTTCATATCTCTGGACTTGAACATAAATAAAGCACACTTCTACTTATGGCACTTTGTGTTTACAAAATAGTCACTAAAGCATACAGTACACCATTGTCACGTGGGAGAGATGTTGTGTATACAGAAAGAAAGACAAAGACATGGTGCATTTCTGTCAGGATGCCACAGAGAGGAAGCAGTCAGGTTAGCATTAGTATATAATCTGAAGAAGGTCACATTGAAGAGTAAGCAAAGAATCAAAAGTCAAAATTTAAAAAAGGTTGCCATGTTGCCAGGCAATATAAAATCATAAAGATATGTCAGTGACAGTACTTTTTGTGCAGTGTAGAATAACTGCTGTCAGTGATTACAGCACAGGTTGTGTAAGGCTACAAAAAGAGAGTGCTGCCCTGTGTTCATCCTCTATTTAGTATTGACATAGGTCTGCAGCCTAACTATAGCCTCAACCTTAAGGGACAATTATATTTTTCTTCCTCTCAGTAACTCTAAAATCAACAATAAACAGATCCTACTAACAAGTGTTGTCTGTGAAGCAAAAGCCCAACATTCCACTGTGCCAGTATTGTCCATTAACTTATAAACAAATCAGTGTGCGACAACTTTACACAAGGTGACGTTCCCCATGTGGAAAAACACAGTAACTTATTTTCAGTCAGTCACACTTAACGCTACTCTGCTGCTGTAGAGTTGCTGTCGCAGCAAATGTGTACTAATCAGCTGCTGAAAATAGTCCCTAACAAGTGCACGGTTTGTTCTTGTTGGATCAACTAAAAACTGCAGATCCCAGTTGTTTTAAAAAATGTTTTTAAAATGAAACTAGATATATATTGGCACATCTTTAAATGGTCACAAGGAACAAATGGGCTTTGGGCTGAAAGTATTAAAAGGCTGATTAATATGTTCTTGATATGTAGCTTTTCATTTGTTCACAGTAACAAAAATATAAAATACCACCAGATCACCAGATGTAATTATTGACTACTGGTGTTCTGATGATATATAAACACTGGTTACACTGGTGTGTAGAAATTAGGTTTGGTTTAGGTGGTATGGTTTTAGTGTGTGTGTGTGTGTGTGTGTGTGTGTGTGTGTGTGTGTGTGTGTGTGTGTGTGTGTGTGTGTGTGTCGTGGTAAAATATTAAATATGAGTGTGTACTGCTGATGTGCATTCAGATGTCAGTGTCCTATCATTAGCCTAAGTTATAAAACATATTATGACCCTATCCTGCTGACATTAATCCCTGAACGATCCTTGCTCAGTCGAGCTGTCTTCTGTCTTCCTCTCTTCCCAGCAACAAACACTCCCCAGAACAATGCCTCACTGTCCCAGGTCACTAGCTTCTGTTGGTTTTGGCTAGAGTCCTCTGTCTTGTCAGTGAAGCTCTCACTATCTCTGGAGTAAGCACAGCCTGAGAATGTCATCTCAGGGCAGGAACATCATTTAACCTTTAGATATTCTGTGCACTTGTGTCACTTCTGGACGCAGCTAGGGGTGACAACCCTGAATCAGACAGGGGACCCTGCAACATGTCAGATGTTGCTGAGCTGTGCTTACAGTATGATTTGTGGTGGAATGCTTTGTTAAAACCTAAACTTCACTTCTCTTGCTGTTTTTTTCTAAGGTGGTGGACCTACTGTAAAAAATCACCAACTCCCACAGATATTCTGAGCCCTGTATGCACATATTCTACATGTGCACATCCAATTGAGCACAGCCCACAGTTCATACCATTGTAACTTTCAAAACAGGGATGATAGTGTGAAATAGAAATATCCCAAAATCAAAACAAATCAAAACAACAAAAACATGCAATTAAAGAAACACAGAGAATAGAAGAAGCTGGGAATTGTATAAATATTAGTTCTCTGATGTTTTGATCTAATAGCCTGTGTGATTTCTTCACAACCAAGCAGAAAATAAAAACTCCATTTGTTACAGACATTTCCATATGAAATATGAGCCTCAGTTTACAGTCGCTCCTTCTTGCCTTAATTTATATCTGGGGGTTCTGCAGTCTGGGCTGGTGACCATAAGATGTCAGTATTTATCTGTGTACCAAGGAAACAGCTACCACTGTGTCAGATGAATTGTCTTGCAGCCTCGTTTTTTTTTTTTTTTTTTTTTTTTTTTTTTTTTTTTTTTTTTT